GTGTGTAACAAGTGGAAACGTACCGTGATGTATAACTGAGTTGTGGTGTGTAAACGTACAGTGTGGAATAATCGAATCGTGATGTATAATGTACAGTGTGGAATAACCGAATTGTGATGTATAACGTACAGTGTGGAATAATCGAATCGTGATGTATAACGTACAGTGTGGAATAACTGAATAATAAAGTGTGAACGAATAGTGTGAAATAACCAAATCATAAAGTGTAAACAAACAGTGTGGGATAATCGAATCGTGAAGTATAAGCGTTACCAAATATAAGTGCATCACATGGTGGTAGCGTTATCAAGTAGGAGTTTAAACTAAGTAAAAGCGAAGCAACGACATCTAACAAGCAAGAGTATACGACATGAAAGAGAACTTTGATGAAAACCTTGAAAAAAACCTTTATACATAAGAAAGTCACAACTTGGTATTCTTTGGTAAAATAAGTTTGAAAACCTTTAGAAATTCTTTGGAAACCTTTCATAACCCAGTTTAAAATGAAATGTGATAAAACAGTATAAGTAAGAGTTATGAACAAGAGAAAACATTTTAGAAAGCCATTTATAGTATCCTACTCGGTAAAATAGTTTACAGTGTGGTAAATTCTTGTGCATGCGGGTTATCAATCACATGTGATTGATATGATAACTGGCATGTTTAACTTGTATTCCCCCCTATAAAACATGTAAAAACATTTAAAAGGTTCATTCAGGGGTATGAACTCACCTGGTGTAAGTGGATCCGACGAAGGCGTCGGTTGGGTGCTCGGTGTCAAGTAAGACTTGGACACACTTTGTGATCTATTTAACATATGATAACATATGTTCACATACAATTAGTATATTATATACTAATTAAACGAATATACGCACCCTAAAGAGCGGAAAACACTTTGGTTAAGTGTTTGGGGTGTCCCGGGTAACATTTAAGGGTGTGAATGGCTTAGGAATGGTGTTTACTCTCCAAGAGTAAACTCTATACATAGTGTTTACGGCCCTGGGACAACTCCCCATGAGTTTACGGCCGTAAACTCATGGTAGGAGTGTTCTAGGATGCTAAATGACCTTATATCACTTGTAGATTTATGTTAGGTCCAATTATAATGCATAAGAAGGGATTTGGAGCTCTTAAGGGGCAATTTGACGAGTTTACGGCCCTAAACTACGAGTTTACGGCCGTAAGCTCCTACACACCCATTCTTTTGGTGTTTTAAGGTCTTAAATGGTAGAGGGTGAGTTCCTAAGCATTTTTCCAAGTCAAATGGGGAGTTTAGGGCACCATTTAACCCCTTTATAGGAGTTTACAGCCTTGATACCCTTCCATGAGGGGTTTATAGCCGTGAACTCCTTATGGAGTTGTTTTAATTGAGTTTAAGGTCCCTAGCTTGTTGGTGATTGATTCTAGAATTTAATCCAAGGCCATTGGTGTGTTTAAGGGCATTTTTAACACACAAATATGAGTTTACTCCCCATGAAGAGGAGTTTATGGCCCAAGCATGTTCTTGGGTAGTAAACTTATGTTTACTCCCCAAAATGCTAGTTCAAGGTGTTCTAAGTATGATTCCATAAGCCTACAAGTCATATCTAAGCCATAGGGACAATTTGGAGGGGTTTTGGGGCTTAAAAACCCCATTAAATGGTGTTCATGGTCCAAGAGTGTTCTTGGGCCGTAAAGACATCATTTTGTCCCTATTTTATGTTTTAAACTCGAATTTTCAGGCTAGATAAGCTATACAACAAGTTAGGATATGTGGCTTACTCGTTTGGGGTTTGAAACGGACGATTTTTGGCTCGAAACTAAGTTGTAGAGAGAGAGAGAGAGTGTAGAGAGAGAGAGAGTGAAAAAGGGTGAAATGAAGTTTACCCTCCCTTATATAGGGGTTGGAGTTGGGGCTTAGTGGAAATCTACCCGATACTACCGTTAAACGGGGTTTTTTGGTCGCACCCGATAAAACGTTCAAATTTTGACTTGGTTGTAACTAAACATTTTTAAGGGCATTTTGTGGGTATTTCTAATTTATTTCAACCCTTACCAAGTCATTATAAAAGTCCCCATATAATTAAACTTTTCCAAAAGGTTAACAGACAGTTAAATAAAACGAAACTTTTTAACGGAAAAAGGTTCAAACTGACGGAATAGATTTCGGGTTGTCACACAACGGGCCAAGTGAGAAAACAAAGTATTTAAACGATATAAAATTTATGGTTTTCTCAATCAAATAATTTAAAATTTGGCCTTAGGAAACAAATCAACGGATTATTGACCAAAATGATTTTTTTTTTAACAAAATGGGTTTTTCGGCCGCAAACAGCCTGGCCGTACACGGATTGGACGTACACGGCTGGTCGTATACGGCGGGGCCGTAAACGCCGATAATTAAAAAAACATCGATTAACCCCTCAAAATACCATCGATTTGATGAAAGAAACACACTTCACCGGTCGATTTTAGCCTACCTACGAGAATCATCACTCAATTTCACGGAAGAACACAATTTTTTTTTTTGAGTGAGAGAGAGAGTGGGAGGAGTTTACAGCCGTATTCTGGAAAATGAGGGGAGTAGTGGTGAGTATGGTTGTAAGCTCCCTTTTATACCTTGTTCAAATTTAGCTGTTATCCACACAGTGTAAGATGAAGTCCAAATCCCAAATTTTTCAAAAATAAAACATTTTGAGGATACAAATTAAATTAAAATAAAATAAAATAAAATAATAAAAATTTCTAAAGTCTAAAATTTTAAAAGAAATTAAAATTTACACAATTAAAGAAAATAAAAATAAAAATAAAATTAAAAATTAAAAATTAAGAATTAAAAATTAAAAATAAAAACAAACTTAATTCTTCTCAACTAATATAGAACATAAAATTTGTGATACTGGGATGAAAGTTATTAGACAACCTTAGATGATTCGTTGGTACCTTTACCTTCATGTCTATGTCTGGTCGATCGCTAGTATTGTGCTCCACTTAAACATAAAGGATTTGTGATAAAATTTAGGACAAGTTAATAGTGACAAGACAATAAATTCTGTAAACTTAGATATTTTCCTTAAAGGACCATTCAGCTGACGACGACCAAGGATATTGTTGTCCTCATAAATCAAGGAGTGAGATCTACAGACAACCTCTAAGTGGTTTGATTTTAGTTGCACTAGAACGTATTCCCTACTTCCCGATATACCCTGTTTATCAAGAACTTCCAAAGAACTCCTTACTTTAGGTGAGCAAACAATTATTAAGGAGGAAGTCAGATTTAGAAATGGATGCATATGTTGTGTCGCAGGTCGGATATATTTCAATCATGCAGAGGGGACAACACATGGCTAACTAGGATAGACGGATTGAGAGGTAGAATGTTGCGTATGTTGTGTCCCAGGTTGGATCTTCCGATCATGCAGAGGGGACAACATATGGCTATTAGATTTAGATAGATAAGAAGGTGTGTAGAGATATAGTTGCATATGTTGCATTCTTGGTCGGATCTTCAGATCACGTAGAGGAGACAACAAATGAATGACAGAAAAAAAGCAAGAAAATAATTTCCTACAGACCTACTTTATCAGAACCCCCAATTGCCCTATCAACCAGAATTAAGGACATAAGTCCGTACACCAAGGAAAAATTGAGCCACAGTGCTAGATGCGTATTAATTTAGTGTATCCACAGATTCACATGTATATCTCTCTGGTTAACCTATCCAAGCGTCGTATTGTCAGACTCAATGGAACTATCTAGGCGCGTATTAATTTAGTGATCGGCTGGTGTCATGGAAGTGCACGGAACAACTGCTGTTGAGGTTGAGACAGTGTGCTGTTTCTTGCACTGCCATGAGACCAGCCAATCACCAAGGACTTGACACCCTCCTGATGTGGATTTCCTGTCAAGCTCACAACCTCTATAATTATTGTCAGCAAAGGTATATAAATCAAAATCAGAATTTTTTTGGTACCAAAGACCCAATTTTGGGTTGCCTTTGATATACTGAAAGATTCTTTTGACAACAATAAGATGTGAAAGTTTAGGATTAGCCTGATAACGTGCGCATTGACAAACTGCAAACATGATGTATGGGTGGCTTGCAGTTAGATACATTAATGATCCGATCATCAATCTGTAGAGAGTCTGATGTACGGATTCTCCATCAATATCCGGATTGAGCAGGGGTCTTTCGGACATCGGTGTCAATGTAGTTTTGGCTTCTTGAAACCCGAACTTCTCAAGTATATCCTCCACATACTTTTCTTGATGGAGTAAGATTCTGGTTGACTTCTGTTCACTACTAGAAAACTGGCCTTTAATGACGCGCAAACGATGACACTCGCCGATAGAGGGCGCGCATTTGTGGGTGCCCTAAAAAATAGTGTTAGTTTTGCAAAATTTGATGGATAGAAGACACGCATTTGTACGTGCCCTAAAATTAGTGTTAGAAAAGAAAAAAAAAAGAAATGCGGAGGGCGCCTTTTATAAAGTGTGCGTCATGTAAGTATGTCGCTTTATAAATTTTTAATGAAACATTCCTTTTAGGCGGGAAATGATCGATTGACAAAAATCCCCAAAATTTTGGAGGACCCGCTCATTCATTCCTCTCCACTTGCTGATGACCTTCATTTTCTCCCCCTCCTTCTCTCAATCAAGAAACCCTAACCTTTCTCTCTATTCACGAGCCAGTAATCACGGCAAAGAAGATCAACAACAAAGACCAACTAGTTCGATTTATCCCTAAAACTTGTACAACTTCTGCAAATTCCATGGCCGCTTTAATATCCATAGATACGCTTTAAACCAAGCTAACCATACCTTTGCCCAAAATTCTTCAAATATGGTCCGTCTTCATCTTTTATCTTCGCATATAGCCCATCTTCACATAATCAATAAGTTACTAGGGCTTTGAACCGGACCTCACATACTTCTTAGAGCTCACAACAGCTTCTCACATTTAGAAGCCCTTCCCGCTGGTAAAAAAACCCTTCCGATGGACACCCTAACCCGATGCCTTAAGCAGCGCCTCCACCGCCCACCACGTTTGTCATCATCTTCATGTAGGAGTTGTTCTGTTGCTCATCGGTGCCACATGGCTTCCCAGAATAAGTTGTTGAGAACACGTATTGTTCTAGTGATAGTCTTCCATCTCCAAATGACCTACAAATTTGCAACCAAAAACGTTACAACATCAAAACACGTATTGCAGATCCTGCTTCTTTGGACCGCAATGATTGGGCGTTGCTGATCTCTTCGAGGAGTTTCTTTTTGACAACGATGGCATCAGTCAGGTACTTTACATGTTAATAGATTTCTAGGGCTTATGTATGTTTCAATTTATATGCAACTTCCCCAAATTAATCTAGAGAAACTTCTAGGGTTTATGATTTTTTAGGTAATCTGTAGTGATTAGGTTAATTTACTCATAGTTTTGATTAAGTTTTTTTTATCATCATGTCCATGTCCCTTCTCTACTGTGTTCCTGTGAGTCTTATACTCGGTAAGAGGAAACTGAACGAAAAAAATTCTTTTGGTTTCTGCATATATTTCCGGTAGAGCTCAATTTATGAATTTTATTTGCACTTCCAATGATAACCAATTTGTGATTTGTTGATTCAGTAGTAAACCACCGTTTTGCTGAAACAATTTTTGTCGGATTTTGATAAGCTTCCTCTTCTTGAAGGCAAAATATAGCCATGTTATTCCGACTAAAATGGCCATGAAACCAAATCCCATACCTGCGTGCATGATACCACATAATTGGTGAGTCTACATTTAACTAAGGTGGGTCCAATGACCCACTTAATTTTTTTAATTTAGTAAAATTTTAGTCATCTACCTTTAAAAAAAATTAAGGACCTATTTTTTCTATAAACTAATGCAAGATGAATAACCATAAACTATTTCATGTTTTCAAATTTCAACCAATCATTTGACTTCATTCGATCATTCAACTGAGGTACTGGATGATCCATTTAAGGACACAAAAAAGATAAGATTACAACTGATTAATTACCTATGGAGAATTTGATAACTGGGAACTCCGAAGTTTTAGCAAGGCAACCTCGACCGTTGCTAAATTCATCTACAACGTATCCATCTTTGCAAGAACACGAGTAACTTCTAGGAGTGTTGGTACAGATCCCCTCGCACAGGTTACTGTTGGGATCTTCACATTCATTGATATCTGTGATGATCGAATAAAAAATCAGTATAAATCAAATAGTTATATATAACAGAATTGAGAATATTTTGATTGTGAAAGATTTAACCTTGACAGCCTGGATCAAGATATGGTTGACCTTGATAGCCTTGATTACAAACGCATCTGTATCCCGGAGCTCCGGTATCAGAATCAATACAATGAGTATTTGCTTGGCAAGCCAAGACGCCGATGTTTCTAGCTTCACTGCAGCTTCCAAATCTTTTATTAGGGTATGTCTATCATTGATTATTTACATATTACTTGCTTTTGATTTGCAATCTGCACTGATTTCCAACTTTTTTATGTTATTTGCGTTACAATGTATCAGATTAAGAATAATTAGAAAATGGTCCCTGTGCTTTCTGATTTTCATCGTGTTTGATCCAAAATTGAAACTTTTTTAATTTTTGTCCTTATTTCAAGGTTCCATATCGATTTTGGTCCTTGGAACCTTGAAATGAGAACCAAAATCGATATGAAACTCTGAAATAAGTACCTAAATCAGAAAGTCTCGGGGAGCAAGGACCAAATGGACAGAAACCAGCTTCTTGCTGACAAATGGACTACATGTTGTTTGTATGTTATGTTAATAAATTTTGTTGAGATATTTAGTTGGAAATTGAAGCTTGATGAATTCATGAATTCTCTGTTTTCAGGGAATCAAACCAACAACAACAGTTTGATTGCAAATGGTGGCCAAGCATGTTAGTCAATACAAGAATTCCAGTGTTTTCGATGATGGTAATTTTTTCTCTTTGATTTAATAATAATATTTGTTTCTAAAAAGATTATACAAGTATTAATTTGTTTATTGAATTTATTTATTTTTCTTGTGTTTCAGGTGTTGAGACTACACCTGATGATGTTAAGGAGAAATTAATGGCAATGGATTTTTCTGAAGATGTGAAGTGCAAGTTGACTACTCAATTAGTTTGACATGGTTTATAAACTTTGTCATGCATCTATATTCAATGGCAGATTTGTCTCCTGCCTAGCCTTTGTCTACAATCAGGAATTTCCATAGGAGTATTTAGTCTCTGGAACAGAAAACAATCCTTTGCCTGGTAATTTGTGTTTGGTTATAAAATTACACAAATTACCATTTTACCCCTGCAAGATATGCTTATATTTACTTACTAATTTGATGTGATACTTTGTGTACGGTTGGAAGGAACTGGAACTAGCCTTGTTGTACCTGAGAAACCTCTTGAAAAGTGAGTTGAATTTGATCTTCATCTTCTCTTTGAACATTCTTTCTTATAAAATTTTGTTTTATAGAATCTTTAATAGGAGTATGTTTGCTTAAATTTTATACAATGACAGGGTTTTTCATGTTCAATGCTTGCATATTCATTCTCATGATCGAACACCATTTGATGGTTATCATCTTCTCTTGTATTTATATTATGTTAAAACTTCAAGGAACCAAATGAGAGAGTAAATGACCATTTTACCATTATATTTGCATGAAGGGTTGATTAAAATTGTGGAGGAAAGTGTAAAGATTGATCAAAATTTGTCCCCAAATAAGCCGATTTATTTTCTTGGAGAATCTTTTGATCATGTGCTCTACCGATGTGACAGTGGTTTTGGTGTCTTGGGACTTCCCATGGATTATATTCAACATTTCAGTTTGTTACCCGATAATTAATTAACTGTCTCTATCTACATGCTCTTTCACTTCACCATTGTATCTATTTTTCTTTAGTAAAATAAATATTAGGTAAAAGCATGGTGTGTTGTTATGAAACAAACAGGGCTTGTGTAGCCGCTAGATGAAGCTTGTATATGGCGCCAAACAAGTGGCACCGCCACTGAAACTTTAGGAGCCGAGAACAAAGCTAAATCCACAAAGAAGGTTCAATTACAATTTACAAATTTGCCCTTCCATTTTCTTAAATATTTTATTAATCCAATATTATCATATCTGTCATATCGTGTATGTATGTTTTGGGATCCATGCGATCAAAATTTCCCTGGTGCTCCAACATTTTTTCCAGGTAAACCCAAGGGCTATTTGGTCATTAAAAAATGTTAAATTTTTATGGTGTCTAATCTGTTATTAAATTTGCAGTTGTACAATTTGCGGGGCAGCATCTTGGTGGGCTTGGAGTTCCTGCTGTTGGCATGGCGTTCCCTGGCTACGTTACTCAGCCCAATGGAATGGGGAATTCAGAAATGACATGGTACTTTAAATATATATAAGTAAATAAATATTTAAGATAATAATAGTTAGGTGGTTAAATGGTTAAAATTGTGAAATTTTGTTGTAGGTTACCTATTTTGGCTGGTGCTGCTGGGGCTTTTGGCTGCTTCACCTTATATCACAATGGATGGTGCTTATCATGCTATGCCATCTGGCCAGACCTCTGCATTGCCTCCTACAAGGTCTGTTACTTGTTATTATGATTAACGATTCTAAGGGTATTTAGGTCATTTACTCAGAATTTTGCATTTTCAAGTTTACTAGTAGATCACACTTGCTTGGCTAAATGTTATTTTGTATGCTTTCAAACTTGTCTTCTTCTTGAATTCTTTTTCTTTGTAAGTTTAGCCTTATTCTTTTCTTCAATTAAGTGTTGTCTGGAGAGTGTTGTATGAACAACAATAAATCAACATTTTTTTCCTTCTTTTTCTTGTATGAACAATACATAGTCATAGTTTGATTTTAATTAGTTGCTTATTTAGTTTATTAGTTGCTTATTTTCTAGCTTATTATAGTCACTGATTGGTTTCTTGTTATGCTTAAATCTTAACAGCTATCATGGCAACCTTCAACAGTAGGTTTGGACAGGCACCTTCTTGCAAAAGATATCACGTAAGTGTTCTTCTGCTGCTATTGTGGATTCGGGAACATCCAGGCTTACTGGTCCAACTGTATGTATCTCACGTGAAGCTTCTGCTAGAATTATTAATCTTAGAGATTTCAAGTTTTTCATATTTCTTGTATCTAATTAGTTTGTAAATTTCCGTTATAATTTTTATTGATTTGTTTTATCTTTCCATGGAACGATTATTTGTATGACATTATATTTTGTGCAATGAATTTTATTTTTGTATATGATATTTTATTTATTAAGAGACATTAAATGAAATTTTAATTCAAAAATTAGTAAATCTAGAAAAAATATTTTTTTAAAACATATAAAATTACGATACGCAAAAATGTGTGTCATCTTCATTTATGACATGACCTTTCTTGACAGGGGCTTCCTTGATACGCAATGCTTGTCATAAACACGCGCGTCGTAAGGATACGACATGCAAGTGCGTGTCGTCTTCCTTTATGACAGGGCCTTCCTTGATACGCATTGCGCGTCGTAAGTGCGCGTCGTAAATGTGCATCGTAAATGCGCGTCGTCTGAGCGTTTTACGACGCGCAATGAGCGTCGTAAAAGGCTGTTTTTCTAGTAGTGGTTGGACCTGAAGCCCCAAAAACATGGTCATTTCCCCTAACGAACTCATCTAAAACCTCTTTTTTATCACGCCTTCAAACTCTTTATATAGCTACGGACTGGTATAACCGAAGATAATGTCGTCAACATAGATCTGCACTAGGATCTGATCATTGCTCACATGCTTGATGAATAAAGTTTAATCGATAGTGCCATGAGAGTATCTATGCTCGAGCAAGTGATTTGTAAGAGTCGCATACCACGCTCAAGGAGCTTGATGTAACCCATTCAACGCCTTGTCTAACTTGTAGACATGATTAGGAAACTTCGAGTTAACAAACCTAGGGGGTTGGTCAACATAAATTTTTTCCTTCACCTTGCCATACACGAAAGCTGTCTCTAACATCCATCTGACAAACGGTGAAGTTCATGTATGAAGCATATGCAAGGAAGATACGGATAGCCTCCAAACGAGCTACTGGAGCATAAACCTCAGTGTAGTCAAGACCCTCGATTTGTCTAAACCCGCGAACCACTAATCTTGCCTTATTACTCACTATGACTTTGGAATCATCCTGCTTATTGTGGTATACGTAACGTGTGTCAAGAGACTTTTTTCCCTTAGGTAATTCAACCAACGTCCAAACCCCAAGTTTGTCAAATTGATTTAAGTATTAGTGCATAACATGTACCCAGCTGGGCTCATTCAAAGTCATTTCAACGTTCTTTGGCTCTATTTGAGAGATGAAGCAAGAATAGAGACATGTATTCACATCTCCACTCTGACTTCTTGTTTTAACACCATCACCCAGCCGGCCAATGACATTCTCGATCAGATGATTGCGTTGAATGCGTGAGGGTATCTCCTGGATGATTTCATTGAGGGATACGTGAAGATTTTGAATGTTAATAACTCCATCATTTGCTGAATGTTGCACATCAGATGAACCTATCTTATTAGATGGATCTGCTACAAACTCATTAGCAATTTGTTTAGGAAAGAGTCTTTCCATGAAAGTTGGAGTAACAGCGGAAGCATCTCTAGACATAAACTCACTTTGAACATGAGTAAGAGGTGTAGCATCAACATCTGGATTATCATGTTGAATGCGAGATTATGGACTAGTAAGTGTAACAGATGACTCCCCCTGAGGTATTGAAGAGGATACCGGTGTAGGTCTGTAAACAACTTCTTCATCTTCATCTTCAGGAGGCAATCTTCGAGCCAGTGGAAGAACCAGACGAACCATCTGAAGACACATTGAAGGATTTGAACAACGATGTGTAATGAAATAGCCAATCAGGACCCACTCGAGCATCCATTTCATTTTCCTCCAACCAGCGCACATTGAAAGATTCAATAATCTGCTTCATCTTCTTATTGTAAACCCTATATGCCAACATACCCCACGAAGTAACAATCATCGGCTTTGGTATTAAATTTTGGGTTGGAATCCAGGTAAAGAAGGGTGCAAGGATAGCCAAATACATGAAAGTGGCTGGCTGAAGGCTTATGACCATAAAGAATTTCTTATGGAGTCTTCATCTGGGATTTGTTGATCAAAACACGATTCTGAACGTAGCAAGCAGTGTTAGTCGCCTCAGCCCAAAAGAAAACAGGTAACTTAGAGTCACAATGCATCGTCCTTGCAACGTCTTTTAATGATCGATTTCTCCACTCAGCAACACCATTTTATTGAGGTGTGCGAACAGAGCTGTATTGACACACAATTCCCTTTTCTCCACAAAAATGATCAAGAACTCCATTCTTGAATTCTGTTCCATTATCAGTGCGAAGCGCCTTCACCCAGTTGTTAGTTTGGTTCTCAATCAACACAATGAACTTCTTTATCAGATTAGCAACCCCATCTTTGTCAGATAAGAAGAAAACCCACGTAAAACGAGAGAAATCATTGATCACAACCAGACAATACAAGTTTCTGCTGATGCTTAGGACATTGACCGGACGAAATAAGTCCATGTGCAATAATTGGAGCACCTGGCTAACTGAATTAACCTGTTTTGACAGGTGTGGTTTTCTATGATACTTTCCCTGGGCACATGACACACACTTCTCAAATGTTATAAAGTCTCTGAAGGGTAAGACATGTACCGTCTCATTTTTTACAAGACGATTGGATTCTTAGCGTTAGCATGACCGAGTTGTCATTGCCACAACATTGCATTTTGTTCTAAGAACTTCGAAAAGACGCATTTGACTTGTTCTGGAATGTTACTGTTCATATCTATAATATATACATTGCCATCCCGCTTTGGTTTGACAAGGATCCACTCTTCCGAGATGAAAATACCTGGCTTAAGGATCATACATTCTTTATCAGTAAAATCATTGAGTATCCTTTGTTGCAAATCTAAGAAACACTCAACAAGCTATGCTTTAACTCGGGAGCAAAGTTGACAATCTCGAAACTTAGCACTCCATTTGTTACGGTTCCTCTCTAAGTTATCTTTCCACCTTCTCCACCTGCAAAGGAAACATATCCCACATTAAAGGATTGAATGCCGCTCAATTGGGAGATGTCTCCTGTCATATGTCGGGAGCATCCACTATCGACATACCAAGGTCTAATGACATTCCTCCGCAACTTTCCTTGCCAAATGATTGGGATCATTTAGATTTGGGAACCCATGTCATTACTTTCCTGGGTTGACCCTTTGCTGACTCAGATGTGTCTTTTGAATCTTTTAAGTTTGAATTATCATTTACTACTTTTTTAGAGGATGACGACGATTGATATTTAGGTTTCTTAAAAATCACAGGTGGTTTTGAAACATATTTCTTTTCCATTTGCATTGAGCATCTGGATTTTCTAGCAGAAGTGGTTGAAGACCCAGATCCACTCTTTGACGAAACCGATCTTGGCGGAGCCTTGTTCGGTTTTGGCAAACTGTTTGTGACTTTGTTATTAAAAAACTGTTTATTCTTTTCAAAAACTACCTTTTTCTTGCTTTTATCGTCCTTCCAACCATCATCTCGAGAGCGAGTTCTTGAGGAGTTTCTAGTTAAATACCATGCTATAGACTCATTCTCTCCTCTTGGTGACATTAAATGTACAAAAGCCTGATTGGGAAAATTTTGTCACACCCCAAAACCAAGAACGGCAGAAACGATCTAGGGCGGAGGACGTCATGTATAGTATCACAACACAGAATAATAGTAAATAAGTAAACAACATCATCCATTGCATTAAATACCTAATTTTAATACAAGTGTGTTCTGTGGTTTATAAGACACCAAAATATGAATCAAAATAAAAGATGAGTCTTGTCTGTGCTCCATCTTCTAAAAAGCTGGCCTCGGTACCTATCTACTGATGACCTAAGAATACAAGTTATTTTGAAAGAGTTTATCAGCATTAAAGCTGGTGAATTCATAAGTATTTAGTGTCATAATTTGTATGCAAATGTTTGTAAGTGTTTGAGTGTAAAAGTATGTAAAATGTTTGTAACAATTGTTTGTATCTCTTAGAAACTCCTATATTTTCCACTAAAAGCAGCCTTCTACCAAGGCGTCAAGTGTATTGTATGTTTGTTCTTTATAAAAGTGAGTATTTTTCCCAAACGTGACTATCATTAGTGAAAATATAGTTTTTACATTACTTTTTATTGTGAGGAGATCACAAAATAGATGTAAAGGGAAAATAATGAAGTACTATAGTATAATAATATTATAACTATTATTGTACTAACTAACTTAAGCCAATTGTTAATTAAGGTATAATGTGATGTAATTGTAACCATACTTGATCGACCTAGTGAAACACGATGCTCGAAGACGTCGACATGTTATGACATTCATCACCCGAAGAACTGCAGGTCACATTGTAGCTAGCAGCAAGGTGTAGGACGGTCAGTCCAGTATTTACACACGAATTCACGCTCTCCCTTCAGGAGACTCTGGATACAAGACGAGCCATGACAGAGATGCCATGCCCCGAAGTAGTGCCTCACATTTATATTATAGTGTGTATGTATTACTGTAGTGTATGTCTCCCCTGATTCTCATCATAGTAAGTTCTCTAGTATGTATATAGTGTGTATGAATAGTATGTACTAGTGTATGTTCTCTCTATCTAGTGAGTAGTATATTCTCTCTGACTCTCATTATACTGTGTTCAGTTGTGTAGTGTAGTGTATGTATTGTATACAATATGTATTGACTCATGTATGAACTGACTCTTTGTATGTTTCATTGTACTAGAAATAGTAAGTAGTATACCTCTAAACTATACCTATTATAGTTTACTAGAAATGCTGTTTGTATCACTGAGTGCATTTAAATAAGACAACAAGCTTTTATGTCTATACATATATACATGATATATAACTAAGGATCAAACGACACTCGGACAAATAATAGGGTACTCTAAGTCCACAACCAAACAAGGAACAAGAAATAGAGTGTA